TACACCCACCGTCAAGTCCAGTATGCCCTGAGCACACAGCCGAGGAGCCTCCAGGTATACTTCCTCCAACATTACCCCCCAAGAAAAACATGTTCCGTCCGTAAACGTATATATCAAAAATCATAACATAATCCAGGTCAAGTATCAGATCAAAATCCAGGTCAAGTATCCGATCAGAATCCAGGTCAAGTATCCGATCAGAATCCAGGTCAGGTATTATAATAGAAATCAAATCAAAAATCAGGTAAAATATCCAGGTGATTAGGGAACACACCATAGTTTACAGGTATTATTTAAAGGTATTGTATCAGGCAGAGAAACAGTTCTTCGGTATGTCGATAGAATGTTGGAATTTAGAATCACTATTTGAAGAGTTCATTAACTGACAGAATCATCAGTTATTCAAAATGTGAATTATCAGGATCATATCTTATTCGGACAGTTTTCAGAAGCTTTACGTAATCAGAAGGGTATTCAGAATCCTTTACATCCATGTCAATTGATCGGATAATCGAACAACTTGAGAACGAAGATTTAGAACCTTAACAATCTATGTCGACTGGTCAATTCATTTTCCTTCTAGGGTATTTACTCTTTAATACCACAAATTCTTGTCCATAGATCATCTTCAGAATCATCACTGAATAGATATTCTAATGGTCTTTATTTCATTTCCAAGGTTCCACTATATCATGAAATACTGACGTGCTTGATTTGTAGTTCATGTTCCATAAGGGCGATACATCATGTAAATTCATCCAAATTTCCAGGCTTAACCTAATCACTTACTTAATCCTCAATCATTGAAGTTACTTAGTTCATTTAGCATCCAAGTCCCTTCCAGTTACTTCGGGATTTTCCAGAGTAATACAACGTTCCTGTATTTCAGATATATATTGTACTTCAGATCCATTCAATTTGGTCTTCTTGGTTGATTTGTCGAACAAACGTCCAATTCTTAATACTGAATGCGATCTAGAATTGAGCTGAGCAGAATACTTCCAAAAATTATCATCGAGCTAAACTTAAGAAGACGAACACGCATTCAAGTAATATCTATGTCGTTCAGCTACTGACATATCATTAAAGTTGATCGGCTTACTTAAGCTGTGTTCTATAACTTTTTAAAGGTAGTCCAATACCTATGCTTATTTGGATTCCTTAATTAATCCAAGGCATTTACTTAGAATAGTACAAAAGGGTATTTTGGTAATTTTGTGTTCATTTTTATTCCATTTATTTCAGAGCTCGAAGATATCCAATCATTCTTGAGCTTGGTGGTATTCTTAGGTCATTTCCACTACAGGGGTATTTTGGTCATTTTACAACAGTGTATTTCAATCCTTTCCTTCCGTCCGATCTTACTATTAAATTCAATCTTATCATTTATTTTAGTCCTTTCAAATAATTCTGACAACAGAACACCCCCGACAAATTGTTCTTCAGGTATTTACTCATAACTCGGATATTTCCGGGTCAAGTGCCTTCTCAGATTTTACAAACGGGATATCAGGAATTTTCCTACACTAAGTCAGGATCTTAACAATCAAATCCGTACTTAATCGAGTTAAGTACAAATCCTCAAAGTATTTTCTCATTCAGGGTCAACTCGGACTATTTTACCTTTCAAGGGCATTTTCGTAATTTCTTAACCAGATGATTTCGATATTAGCTCTTAATGAAAATAATATAATTTAGAGATCCTATGATTAATTGTTGTCTTGAACACTCTCTGATCTTGAAACGGTTCTCTTAACAGACTTCTAGTATCATTCACAAACTCTCCTAGGATTAAAACCGGTTATCCATAATTTTCAAATAAAAACTAACATTTCTTATGCACATCTGTAATTATATCAGATCAATATGTTCTTTCAGAGTTATTAACCAACTTCCAGGGATAATTCTTAACATCCTACAACATAAGGGTATTTTTGTAATTTTACCCTACCGAAGTATTCTCATAATTTCCCATCCAAGTACCTTTAACATTTAACCTTTGATGATATAAAATATAAGTTACAAATCCAGGGTTGATTTCTTTATCACCAATCACAAACTTGTAATTTAATTCTAACAATTCCTCAATCTCTTATAATAGTCATCTGAGTCATATTCAGTTACCTACTTGCTACCGTATTCGTATCAAATGTAGATCTTTATTAATTACACATATGAGACCAAACATTTTCATTCATGCATTTACCAATACCAACATGTTCTATAAAGCATAAAGAGGTAGTAAAGTATTACCTCGATTTCCGTGCAATACTGATTGACCATAAAAATTCCATTCGAACGCCTTTGATCTTTAATTCAACTTCCAATAATTCCTCAGATACATATCAACATAAATTATATCAGAAACGGAGCTTAATTGCGATAAACGGATCGAATCGGGTGATAAATCAGTGAAAAATAGCTTATCGGGTTCGAATTTGGCGAAACGGACTTCAGATTCGGATTCAAGACGTCGAAAGCATAAAATATGACTTTTCAAAATTTGGAATTTTCGGTCAAAATCAAAGTCAACGGGTTTGACCGGCAATTTTGAGGCCTTCGAGTTCGAATTTCGAAAAAAGGACAGCGGAATCGGATTTGGAACATCAAAAAATGTCAGGATAGGTATACTCGGTCAAAGTCAAAGGTCGTTTAATGCCCGGTCAAAGCACGTCAAAGTTTTGGTCAACAGTGGTCAACGCCGGTCAACGGTCAACGGGTCGGGTCGGTCGGGTTATGACAGGTCAAACCGGTCAAATATGCACCAAAACCGATCAAACTGGTCATTTGGACCATCCCCACGCACGGTGGCAGCGCGTGGGGGCGTGGGTACTGTTCTGGCAGCGTAAAATTCACAAAAAAAAATTTAAAAATTATTTTGAGCGATTTCGAGATACTTACAAAGCTCAGTTCAAATTTTTGAACGGCGGAGAGCTCGATTTCAGCGAATCAAAAACTTTGACCGCTTCACCTCCACAAGCGCCGCCGCCGCCGGAGAAAAGGGAGGACACCGGTGGACTCGGAACGGCACAAGGAACACGATGGTGCGGGAGGTTTCGTAAACGGATGACCCGATCGTCATGAATCGATGAAAAACTAACTAAAATCGAGTTATTACCGACGATACGTCTGACTGAAATTAACGACGAATGGCAAAGTTCATGACGAAAGGTTTGAGGGGTTTTGTTCCTCGCTCGACAACGAACACGATGGTGGTTTCGGTTCGTCGATCGGAGGTCGGACGGCAAGTAGATCAGAGTTGAAAGTTGGTTGATCGGAGAGGGAAAACTGCAAAAAATTTTCAGAAACATACGAGAATAGGGGTTTATATCATCTCATAAATAAAAATGGTTAAACCAAGAGTTTAGCCATTGAACTTCATGCACTTCATAAAACGGTCTACCAACTTTAAAATTTTACAATTTAACCCACTGTTTCTTTCAAAATACCAAATTAAATCCACCACTTTATAATTTCTAAATCTTATCCCCTAAATTGGGGTGTTATAAGGCCGAAATTACCCATAACTTATATAGACATGTATAATTGATTTTAATCATAAATCATGCTTGAAATTGGTTCTACAACCTCAAAAACATCAAAATCCTTCATCGATTCCATAACCTTAATTTGAACATAAACCCTAAAATTTGGGATATTTGAACAGAAACCAAATTAGTAAGCAATAAATGTACCAAAAGATAGGTTTTTCGAATAGAACAATTTTCTATTTCACTGCATGTTCCAAAATCCAAAGAAAATTGCTCAAAAATAAAAAATAAAATATCTCTTATTTAGGTCATGGAGAGCACGAAATGAAGATGAAAAATAGCCTAAGTTTTATGAATTTCATGAATTTTCATGTTAATTTAACATTTATTTAAGCTTAAATGAATATTTATATTCATTTAATGAGAAATGCTCATTTTGACATTAATGAAACTTGATATTTATAATAATACCAAGACACATAATCTTATCATCTTTCCAAAGTAAAGATGAACAAAATATTTTACCCGTTCCAATTTTACCAAGCAACTTTCCAAAAATTACAATTTTACCACTTTGATTAAACAATCCAAATTAAACATGAAAATAAATACTCAAATCCAACGATCCATATTATTTTCCATCATTTTTACATGTGGAAATAATATTTTTAAGCCTAATTTATCATTCTTCAATTTTTTCAGAAATTTCTATTATATTCGATTTACCGATTTCTTATCGGACTTTAACCCTTTCTAGTTTTCAACGTAAATCCCGAATCATGAATCTAATTTCAATAAAAACTCACTCTCAAAAGTAAACTATATATTTATAGAAAAAATATTTTTGGGAAAATTACCACTTAGATCCCTAAACTTTTCCTAATTTATACTTGGCCACTAGATTTTCAAAACTTATATATTGGTCACTAACCAAAATTTGGGGTATTACAACATATCAGGTAGCCATAGTTCATAAACAATAAATCAATACATCACTAAACTTATATTTTGGTCACTAACAAACGACACAATGTGTTGAGATTTAACGGCATTTTTCCCACAAACACCGTAAAATGTGTATGTATGTAACAGCGTTTTTACAAATGCCTCAAAAGCTTAAGATATTTGGCAGCGTTTTTCAGATACAAACATCGCAAAAAATCAAGTATATAACAGCTTTTTTTTGGATACAAACACCGCTAAAGGTCTGGTATATAACGGTATTTTTCATATAAACGCCGCAAAAGGTCTGTCTATTGCGACGTTTTTAGGATACAAACGCCGCAAAATATATGGTATATAACGGCGTTTTCTGTTACAAACACCGCTAAAGAACACATAATTTAAACAATTTAAATATTTTCTTCGATTACCCCAAATCTATTTTTTTCAACTTGTTCCATTATCCAACAAACATGACATCAAACTCTATATCCATAACAAACAACATCAAATCGAATATAATAAATAAAAGTTTCATTAACATAATATCAATTCAGTTAAACACGATTCAACAATATTAACAATCTGCTGATAATATAAATAAGACTATGATAGTGGATTCTGAGGTTGCATTTTCTGTAACATCTGCATTATATCATCAAGTTATTTTTCAAATTCTTGACATCTTTGCTGATATGATGTTTCTCTCTGTGCTATCGATGCTTCTCTCTGTGCTTCTATTGCTGTTATCTCTGCTTCCCTTACTTCATTTTCGACTTTCATGTTAGTCATTTGTTGATCCATTTCAGCCAACTTTTGTTTTAAACGACTAACTTCTAATTAGGAAGACTGAGACTGAGACTGTGACAATATGTACTGAGATGAACTGGACCCAAAATATTTGGTGGGAGTAACGAATGATCCTTGACAGCGCACCTGACCATATCTTTCAGGACCCAAAACGTCATTAATAGCTTGGTTTTCAATGTCATCCTCATTAATAAAACTTTGATTCGAAGCAGTAGCATGATACTCTGCTTTTTTCTCACACAATTTTTCTTAATAATAAAGTGAATAATTAATTTAAATAAAAATGTCATGCTACAGATATAAATAAAGTCAGGTAAATTTTAAATATCTATCCAATAAACGTACCATAATTTCTGCAGCTTCAGCAGTCATAGGAGTGACATCTTTCTTTGTATGTGTCACGTCGAAAAGTTAGATTCATCCAACTTTAGAACCAGATGTATTTTCCTACAATGTACCATAATATAATTAGTTTAAGTTAGCATGTACATGGAATACAAATAACTCTGTGGATAATTTATAATACCTCCTCATTAGCTATACAAGCAAAGCTTTTTGATCCAGCCGAGTGCGTAAACTTTTGTTGTTGTCTGCTAACAACACAACATGCTTTCGGTCCTATAATGTCAAAAAACCAATTTTATTGATGATTTATAAATCGTTAAAATTATTTTTGAAAAATACATCATACCTGTCCGTTTTGTAAACTCCAGAATCTAACATCTTCCCATTGGTACCTGAGCATTCCAGGTGGAACTGTTTATAGCTTCTCTTCAAGGCTGAGATCATTCTTGAAGTATTTCTTCTTTAATGCGCTCTTGTGATCTCTATATCTCTTCCGTAACGCTTGCTTCATATAATCGTCAGATACCTCTAAAGAAAATTTCTCCTATGCAACAAATAAATGTTCAACATAAGTATAAATTATTATTGAATTGTTATAGAGTGTCTATTATAATGACATTATTACCTTAATAAAATCCAACGCCTGATTTTTGTTACTAGTAGACATTTCGCGCTATGACTCATAATTGATCGGTAATAGATTAACATTACGTCCAACTATACCTAAGTAACCGGATAGAAGACATGCTTCTGGGCCAATAGATTGATCGTCATCATTTCTTGAAACTTTGACACGGTGCCAAAGAGGAAGTTAGTATAATTCCTTCAACGTTGTACGCCCTCTACTCTTGTGCGTTCTCATTTTCAACTATATAAGAAATTATTAAATGTAAGTTTTGAAAATGAACAAACTATTAAATAAAGTTTCAAAGTTTACCTTGAATTTCTACTTCTTCAACAGTTTCAGGAACTTCGAAAGAGTCAACTGCATTCGATTCCTCGTTATTTTTTTGTTCATGGTCTTCAGAAGCTCGAACAACCCGCAAATCACTTATTTTTCTCCTCGGCATGATATTTGTAATAAACAAAAATTTATAATAAGAAAATGAATTAATTAATGAATATAATGAAAGCTAACATGGTAAAAGTTATAATATTATAAATAAATTAATTAATATATAAAATCTTACGACATTCTTATGTAGTGTTAGTTGTCATAAATATCTTCATCAACGTCCTCTCGAACCCATTGAAATTGTGGTGTATTAGTGATAGTTTCATATATGTTTTGTGGTAGTAGAGGTAAACATTATGATATTGTTTCAATGTCATCTCTACTTCCATCCCCGATGTCTATTAAGTCTCTAGGAGTATTACGGAGCACAACATACCAACCGTCAACCATTAGATCGTGACAGTAAAATACTTGTTTCACTTGAGAAGAAAATACATATTGTTCATCCATCAATCGTTGACCAGTGTGAATTAATCAAGAGAAATTCACCATTATAAACACGAATCTATCTCTTTTTATGCCTCTATTTACATCAACCCAGTCACACCGAAACAACACAACCTTTTGTTTTCCATAATAATCTAACTCAATAATGTCCGTAAGAATTCCATAATAATCGACATCTCCCTCCTGTGGATTATTGTCCCGGACAGTAACATAACTTGTAGTTGACGAAGTAACTATGACTCCACAATTTTGTGTCCTCCTTAATGTTTCACGAGATTTCGTGTAGAACCTGAACCCATTAATGAGGAAGACATTATATCTTTTAATTATTCTATTCGAACTTTGAGAAAGCCATTTAACATCTTCACTAACTTCTCTCCCACTCCAAACCTATTACACATGAATGATCATATATAAGGGTTTATTTCTATATAAAAAACAAGACATATATTATTTATAAGTATGTTGAATGATTTAGTTACTTACCATATGGCCTAACCATTCACGAAAAGTTTCTGTGAATAACTTATGTCTCTCTCGCTAATGTAATCTTCGAGAGCGTGCACGAGATCTCAAGACTTCTTTAAACTCACTATAAAATAGATTGTCATTAAAGAATGATAAATATAAAAGATTAAGGAATTTCATTAGTATTGGGTCCGAAAGACTTACGTGCGAAATGGATCTACTGAATCGTGATGGAAAGAACATATCGATATGCTTGTACCCAAGACGTGTCATCTAAGTATGCAATTTCAACTTTCTCAAGTGGTTGACCATAACTTCCAAACAAATAATCTTGAGGTAAGTATTTAGTACTGAACACAATTTCTATTTTGTATATTCCATCTTGTTTCAACATCTTCCAAATATTTAGAGCAAAATGTCATTCATTCCTCTGCCAAATACCCTTCAGCAATTGATCCTTCTGGATAACGCTTATTACGACAGTAAGACTTCAACTTGCCCAAGAACATATACAGAAAACAACGTACAATGTAAATACATTTAATTAAAAAAGTATAATCAGTAGTCATTTGAAATGTATAATTCAATTAGCACCTCATTATAGGGTACATCCATCGATAGAAAACTGGTCCACCAACTCTTGCTTCGTGAGGAAGATGAATTAGCAAATGCACTATAATTGTGAAGAATAAAGGCGGAAATATCTTCTCCAAGTTCCATAAGGTCAAGGCGACTCGATCTTGTAGTTTATCAAGTTCTTCAACCATCAGAACTTTCCCACAGATGACTTTCATTATATTGGAAAGTTCAATGATACAAGACGTCACCTTACTCGACATGCAACCACGTACAACTACTAGCAGTAAATCTTGCATTAATATGTGATAATCATGCGACTTTAAAGAATAAAGTCTTCAATCTTTAACACTGACACATGGAGATATATTTGATGCATACCCATATAGGACTTTTATATCCTTCAAGACCGTGCAAAACACTTCTTTTTCTTTCTTCTAAAGAGAAAAAATAGAAGGCGGCAAGAAATGTTTTCCATTAAGATGTACTTGCGGATGAAGATCATGCCCATGTCGACTAAGTCAATTCTACTCTTGATATTATCTTTAGATTTTCTTCCATCATTCAGAATTGTTCTGATAATATTCTCACAAACATTCTTCTCAATATGCATTACATCAAGATTATGTCTCAAAATTTGATTTTTCCAATAAGACAACTTGGAGACTATACTCCTCTTTTTCTACATGTCTACCTCATTTGGATCATCCTCTTCATCATACTCATCATCACTCTGTTGATCAACTTCAAGCTCTTCATTGATCTGCTTTGCCTTTTTCTTTGATTGTGTATTGGTTGGTTGATTCATCTTCCGTAAGTGAAATTGATATTTTTCAACATTTTGAATATATCAGTCCCGGTTATTTGGTCAGGAGCATTTCGAAACTCTTCATCTCCATCAAACATATTCTTTTGACATCTAAATCTATGATTATCAGGTAACTACCGACGATGTCCCATATAAGAGATCTTCTTTCCATTAAACAACCACTTCGAACATGTTTGTGCAGAACAACAAGGACAAGCATAACGACCTTTGATACTCCAACCAGATAAATTTGCATACGCAGGAAAATCATTAATTGTCCATAATAAAGTCGCGCATAAATTAAAGTTCTCCTTCTTAAACACATCATATGTTTCAACCCCTTCCCATAACTCTTTCAACTCTGCAATTAGCGACTACATGTAAATATCAATATCATTTTCGAGGCCTTTCTCGCCAGAGATTATCATGGATAAGATAAAAGATGTTTGCTTCATGCAAAGCCACAGAGGTAAATTGTATGGAACAAGTATAACAGGCCAAGTATTATACAAAGTACTCATGATTTTGAATGGATTAAACCCATCAGTTGTAAGACCGAGCCTGGCATTTTGAGAACTTCTCACAAAACTTGGATACTTGTAGTCAAATGACTTCTAAGCTAAAGAATCCGCAGGATGCCGTAATAATCCATCATCGGTTCTGCCATCATGATGCCACCTCATAGACTCAACAGTCTTGGAGGACATAAACAATCTTTGTAGCCTAGGTATGAGAGGAAAATATCGCAGAATCTTTACCAGTTTCTTTCTTGATCGTGCTTGAGCTTCATCCTCAGTAACATTTTCTGCGTCCCTAGTCATGTATCGAGATTTTCCGCATACATGACAAGACTCTTGGTTTTTTCGATCACCCCGATACAACATATAATCATTTGGATAACTATGAATTTTGTCATATCCAAGACCCAAATCTTTTATCATTTTCTTCATATCTTTGCATGATTGAGGGATTTTTTCAAAAGGAAACACTTCTCCTAGTAGCTCCAACAATTGCGTAAAAGAGTTACCAGTCCACCCTCCCAAGCATTTTAAGTGGAAAAGACGAATGTAAAAAAAGCTTTGAAAATGTTGATCCCTCATAAAGTTGTTCATTCATGTCATTCAACAACTTGTAAAACTTTGCCGTTTTTCCATTTGGCTCTTCATCTCATCCAGTTCTTCCCATCTCAATGAAATCATTATCATCATTGTCACAATAATTTTCGAATAACTCGTGGAAGAAGATGATCCTAATATAAACTCTCCATGAAATATCCATTTTCTATACCCCGAACAAATCCAAAAACAACTAGATGCTCGTACACAACTTCACGAATGTGCCAATTAATGTTAACACGATTCTTACAAGGGCAAAGAATCATATTCTCTTGGCTTGCATTCAGAAAAACTAAATTTAGAAAATTTTCGACTCCATTTCGATATTCGACGCTTACCCTTGAGAAATCCATCCAACTCTTATCCATTTCGTATTTATGTAGTTTCAATATCAAATGTTAAATGCTAATATTATACAGAAGTTATAACCTAAACATAAGCATTAAACTATAAGATTTAGTATAAAACTAATCACTTTCACATATCTTAAACCTCCAGCATTTAAATCTAAACAAACTCATATTTCACAATTTGTTCGTGACCAAGTTCATTACCGTTGTGATGATAACTACAATTTCAATCAATTAAAGAATTCATAGAAAATGAAACTATTTTTAATAAGCTGAGGAACCTGATCTTGTTGGAGGAAAGGTGCAGGTAGTTTCAACTGGTTTTGAATGTCCACGTCGAACAGATGCAACCAAAGCTGAAAATGAAACTATTTTTATTAAGCTAAATGGGTTGGCGATGGTAAAAGATATGAGAAAGACAAACAAAAATGATAATGAAAAGTACATATAAAGGGAAAATGGAACTCAAAAGTATCACACAGGATGAAAATAGAACTTACAGATGTAATAATCACTGCAAGATACAATCACCTACCATTATTGCAAGTTCTTGATTAATAAAATCAATAGTTCAAGTTCAACACATTATAAACAAGAAACAGTGATCTTCATTCCTAAAAAAAACATAACCTAGCAGTCCAAGCAGCTGGGTTTTCATCGTAAATAAAGGGACCCCAAATTGATTCAAACCAACAACCGATAGCAAACAGTGTAAAACCAAAGCAAATTTACTAATAAAACCCTTCTGCAAACATCTAATTTAATCAAATAAATGGCAGGAAGAAAAAAAGCAAGCTTAGTTCTACCGATACTAGTTCTACTGATACCACTGCCATGCCTCTGTATTCAGCATGATCACAATTTTCTTTCCTTTCTTCATGGCAAATAAGGAGTAATTGCACTTTCTAGAAACTTTCTTCGGGCCATAAAGAGATTTGAAACATATTCATAATCTAGCTTACCAATGTTAGTCAAAGAAAGCTTATGCATGGTAGAACCAGTGTGTAAGAACCTCAGCCTTACCATTAGGCAAATGCACAAACCTAATTTACTGGAATTTAATAGCATGTACCCAACTCATCCCAAGACATGTCGAATGGTGATCAATGATATCTCAATGTCCCAGTTAGTTTCTAGCTGTATGTTTGATAAAAGGAAGAACATTGTTCCATTCACAGTTCAATAAAACTATCATTAAACTATCCACACATTTCATTACAAATCCTGAAATAGAAAAGATCTTGGCATTCATCAAAACACTACAAATTGCTTGAAATAGATTCTAGAAACTTTCTTCGGGCCATAAAGAGATTTGAAACATATTCATAATCTAGCTTACAATGTTAGTCAAAGAAAGCTTATGCATGGAGAACCAGTGTGTAAGAACCTCATCCTTACCATTAGGCAAATGCACAAACCTAATTTACTGGAATTTAATAGCATTACCCACTCATCCCAAGACATGTCGAATGGTGATCAATGATATCTCAATGTCCCAGTTAGTTTCTAGCTGTATGTTTGATAAAAGGAAGAACATTGTTCCATTCACAGTTCAATAAAACTATCATTAAACTATCCACACATTTCATTACAAATCCTGAAATAGAAAAGATCTTGGCATTCATCAAAACACTACAAATTGCTTGAAATAGACCTCATATGAAGTTGCAATCAATAATGACCACATTTCATTTGGGAGACTACTCCATCTTACAAGCTCAATGAAGGACTGGAATTGACTATTCTAGAAAAAAGAGTATTTGGAAATGACAATGGGATACTAATGTTCATTTTTCTTTTTCTTTTTTGTTCATGCTCCCAAAGAAACATTTATAGATGTGCATTAGTTACCCCTCTTTTGGTTGCAAACAAAAAGTTAATTTCATAAAAGGAGAAGTTTACTTCAATCATTATATTTCCAGCAAATTCTGCTTCTATGTTCATATCGACAGCAACTTTCATCCACACAAAGTTATCATGCATGAAGGTAAAGAAATGAAAGGGGAAGAAAACAATGCAATTCGTTCAATTTGTGATACCGACAAGCAATTTTCTGTTGTTTTAAGTCATTCTTTTGTTATTGGTCTCCAATATGACTAATTTAGCCCATGACTTTGGAGTCTATGATATGGAAAATCTAGCCCTAAATTCAGCAAACGAGCAATACCAAGTAAATTGAGCATACCTACGTCCTTTTTTTCTTGTTTCTTTTTTTTGATTAAGTAAAATGGTTGTTGCGGTTACGAGAGAGCTGAGGCCGCTTTATAGGATATATTATCAGGTTCCTCAAATGTCATTGAAGGGTTAGCAGCAGAATTCCCAAAAGTAGGCTGAGCACCACTACCTCGCCTAACCGGGATGTCTGGTTGCTTTGCTGGTGAGCCACTCGATATGTCAAAAAGACCAGAGTTTGAATTGTTTTGTCTTGCTGGCCATACGTCCTCCCGAGGCACTGGAGTTCCAGGAGAAAAAATCGACCGATCTGCAACAAATAAGTTAACTGGGGAGGGGAATAATTAAGCAGAAATGACCTATAAATTGGACTGAAATCGCGATAGTAGGAACCATGGAAAATATGAATTGTTTAAAGGCTTTTAGTAAAAGGTTTACTGGTTAATTGATGAGAACCAGTGTGTAAGAACCTCAGCCTTACCATTTGGCAAATGCACAAACCTAATTTACTGGAATTTAACAGTGTAAAACTCGATTAGGCAAAATGGTATCAGTATTACCTAGGGTTCAATCGTAGAGGAGCTGAGCTTGAACCGATGGGCTTTCAAGTTGAACTGAGCGCAACGAGGGAAGCAAGGTGTCGAGCAGGGAAATGAAAACGAAAAACGTCTTTGGAAGATAACTGCTGCCAAAGTGGTCGGTTATGGGCTTATGGCCATTGATCACTCGAAAGTATAACTCGAAAGATGACTTACTTTTTTGATCACTCGAAAGTGCTCAATTCTCTCGACAGAACATTTGGGGCTGTTAGGGTTCGCCAGTGAGAAGCAAAATGAAGAGGGGGCCTAAAATTTGGGACTTTTATCTAAGTTTGCGGCGTTTTTTTTATAGTTGTGATATATCGCGTCGTTTACTTAAAAAAAAAGTCATTATTGTTCAAGTCTATTGCGGTGTTTGTAGAAAAATGTATCTATAGTGTAACTCTATCACGGCTTTTTACTTAACAAATGCCTCTATAGATTACACTTATTGCGGCGTTTGTACAAAAACGACGCTAAAATATAAATATTTTTGCGACATTTGTTATCCAAAAGCCACTATAGATAACACCTATTGCGGCGTTTGTATTAAAACGCCGCTAAAGTACAAATATTTTACGACGTTTCTTGATAAAATATCACTATATAGTAAACCTATTGCGGCGTTTTTTATATAAACGCCGCAAAAGTCAGGTATATAGCGACATTTTTTGATATAAAAGCCGCTAATTACCTTTATTTTATATGACTTGATTTTAAATATTTCATTTATGCTCTACATAAACTAAAATTACTATAATGTAGTTTTATCTAATTACCAACAACCATGCATTTTAATTAAGACAAAAGTTATGCATAAAAATACTTAACAACATAATACATTAAAATTTAGAAACATTCAAGTTATGCACAAACAGTCTTCACCATATTGTTCACTATAATTTATTCTTCATTGCTCCTTCATGGGGAAAGGACGTAAGAAAGCTGTTTTTCTTGTTTGACGGCGCATCGTTAAGTTTTTCCTCCGTGTAAACTCTATATGGAGAAACTCTTATCCATTTCACCAAATAAATCCCCTACATCAGGTTCACCAAGAAGACTCATTGTGCGCTGTAGTGCTTCACTTGAAACAGATAACGACCTTCCACCTACAGTATGAAACTTGATTGGAGGTGGCTTTGGAACTGAATCAAACATTAAAAAAATTAAATAGAAGATAGAAACTTTTACTTGGAGTATCAGTAGAGGCAACGTCGTCTTCATTGAGGATATATATTGCTTTTGCAATTGAAGATTCTTTCAACGCCACAGAGTTAGCAATTTCGGTTCTAAACATCGGGTATTTATCCACTCCTCTATCATCGTTCTCAATAAGCTTTGAGCATCCTACATGCGTGCGATCTATGAAATTTGAGAGTACAAAATAAAAATATAGCGGCATAAACTTTCAACGATTAATTATTACCTTCAATTAGGAGATCGACCATGGAAGGGTATTTTACAATAGGAGGGCTTTTCGGGTCATCATCGAGTTTCGAGGGCAAGTTCGGACTGATAGCCTCCCAACGATAATTTGATCCATTATCAGAGCAAAGATGCCACGTGGACATTCCGATGATAATTTGTCTTACTGAATGCAACACCTGCTCTTTGTACCACAACCATTTGTTCACATTTTGAAAAGCTATTATTTTTCTATTCGAAAGCTATTATTTTTCTATTCGAAAGCAAAAAACCAACAGTAAACTAGTAAAACAATATGTATAGATATTATTTTCTTATTCGAAAGCTATTATTTTTCTCTATTACGTTAGCTTTATAGGTTTTCCCCATTTTCAGAATACCAACAAAAAATAAATGAAAAAGTTCAGTTGTCAGAGAAGGGATCAAACCGTGGAATCGTGAGATAACTGTTTGCCGGTGAGAGGGCCGATCAGACAGAAGGTGACGTCGCCTAGAATCGTGTTAGGGTTGTTGTTGTACCAGAGAAATCCCTTTTAGGGAAGCAGCGTTGAAATGACTTTCAGGATCGAGCAGGATAAAAGGGTGGAGCATATATTGACCCTTTGGCGGTGTTTTTTTAAACAAACGCCACTGCAGTCTATGTTTTTGCGGCGTTTTTATAAAAACGCCACTATAAACTAACATATTTTGGCATTTGTAAATTATTACTCTATTGCGGCATTTTTTGCACAAACACCACTATAAACAACCCTATTACGATGTTTGTTTGATAAACGCCGCTAAATTACTTTTTTTATAGCATCGTTTGTTGGACAAACGCCACTATAAACAATCCTGTTGTGGCATTTGTATAAAAGCGCCGCTAAATTACTACTATATTGCGGCGTTTGTTGAAAAAATGCCACTATAAACAACTCTATTCCGGTGTTGGAGCTATAAACGTCTCTAAATTACCACTATATTGTGGCGTTTGTTGAAAAAACGCCGCTAAAGTATCATTTTGTGGCGTTTGAATTGTAAACGCCACTACATGCTTAAATTTTGTGGCGTTTACCCTAAAAACGCCGCTACAGAACACTTTTGTTGTAGTGATTAGTTTCCATGATTACCCTACTAACCTTTTTATTATCTGCAAGCTAATCTTTTTCGAACCATATCTAAGTGGTTGCATCGACGATAGCCACTGGTAGCTGGAAGGCTAAGGCAAGCTTTAGTGCGATGGTTACAACTTACATCAATTGACTGCCAGGAGTTGCTGGAAAGCTTTCGGTACGCACGGAGACTGAAAATAATGGAACATTGGCACCTGAAAACCACGATGAGCATGTGAAAAATGAAACATGAGCGGTGAAAATGAAACCTCACTGGTGGAACACAATGTTGAAGTAAAGAAAATACATGATATCAGGAGCATCAAACATTGAAGTGCCGGACTTATTGTCACCAACTCACCATATGTATAATGTTACCTAAGTTGCCATTTTGATAGGTCATTTGCCTGTTTTAACTCATAATGATGTTAGTATAGGGGATTCTTGATGTTATATGAAAACAAAGGCTGAGAACTGAAGTGAAGCTAAAATACAAGATAAATGGATAAAATATGTAACTGCATTGAAGCAAGCAACAACTCAACTACAGAATTTTGGTTTCATATAAATCCCCATCCCAAAACATGCAATTAGCAGCTGCCCTTGCAAGCAGAACTATATATCAATGTAAATCCTCATCCCTTACAAACATATATTCCCTATTGGACATGTAACAATGATCTTTCCTGCTGGTGATGTAGAATTGTCGTTCCCATGATTCTCACCGGCAACTAGTTTCTTCTTGGTCTTGGTAAGCACAATTAAGAACGCGGTCTCAACGTTTTTTTTTTTGCTGCAATAGCCGAGGTCTCCATGAAAAATAGTCCCTTCCTTTTGAGCAAATTCTGTGGCATCCTCTGATTGAACTTCCCGCTGCTATTTAAGGTCACTTTTGGAATTCCAAATAAAAAGAATAATAATGTTCTTGTCAGCATGGCCATGCAACTCTTCCAGTCAGCGTTGGATGTGATCAAAGGTTTGACGTTTGGTAATATCATACCAGCATTACCCCCAAGAGCAACCCTGTAGCATATGCACTTAAGTTGTAACAGTGTTCAATATAGCATAAGAAAAGAAGGAATCAATAGCTGCTCATAAAACAATTCTTTTAACGGAGATAAGTAAATAGTATCAGTCCACTTAGGGGATACGCTTGAATATTTTACTTCAACACTGTATTTAGATACTGTTGTAGACATACATCATTGTGTTGTATTGTATTGTTTGCTTGCATTGAGAGAGGTGGATGACTGCATATACTGTTTGTATTGTCTTTCCGCTCTACTAGTTTTAACTGATCCTTTTTATTATAACCACTTATATTCAATTTATTAATTGATTAATCCAGATTAGATATTATATAGACTCAATGTGAGATTATTCTCTCAACTAATTTAATCCAATCTCAGGATTCAAACCTAACCTTATTTAAGGAATATTGTCCAAATGGTTGTTAATAGTTTTAACTACTTTGTTTATTTTCAGATTGATTTATTTTATAAAACTTTAACACACTGAGTTTTTTAATATTATATATATGTATTTAAAATTATTAAAAATATTAAAATTTGATCGACACTCGTATGATCGAAGAGAACGTTAACTAGAAAGTCCATTTGGATTGAAAGAGGCCCAACCCAAGAAATCTCAGGCAGGAAGCGACGTCGTTTAAATACCACGGAAAGCCCTAATAACTCTTTTGCAAATTACAAGCATTAATAACCCTGGGGAGAAGGGTCACCTTTGATCTTCCCTCATCGGACGGCTATGAAAGCATGAGCAAATCGAAGTTATCCAGTGGAGAACGTATTCTTAGACTTGGGAGACTCCTAGAAGAATCAACGAACTCACAGGAGAGGGATTAAAAAAAATGGATGAAGAGGAGCATGAGGTATACGGAGGTGAAATCCCCGACGATGGAGAGATGGAGGGCGAATTAAACCCTCACAACGGCGACGTCGACATGTCCGCCGCCGATGAAGACGCTGTAAAGGTAATTATTTTGTAAACAAATTAAAAACCCCAACTGAAGACTCCTTTATTGATACTATAGTTGTTTGATTGTTGTAGGAGTTAGATGAAATGAAGAAACGATTGAAGGAGATGGAAGATGAAGCGGCGGCTCTCCGTGAAATGCAGGCCAAGGTCGAGAAGGAAATGGGTGCTGTTCAAGGTTTTTCAGCATTTTCCCCCTTTGTCGTGTTTATATTTGGCGATGTTTATTTGATCTGAAATTTAGTCTACAATTATGATGTTCGGGCTTAAGTTTTTGGTTGTCTGGATTTTTATTATTTAATTTGATAAACCTATCTACTCTGAAACTCCAAACTTAATTTGTAAGTGGATTTCGAATATTAGTTTATTTTTTATAAAAGTGAATCTACTGTATTAGTAGTTTATAGAGTTTACTGGAGAATTCTTACAGGGAGTTATAGCCTGGATTTTTGTTAATTCTATCTATATTTCTAAGGTGCTGATCTGGTTTACTGGAGAATTCTTACAGGGAGTTATAGCCTGGATTTTTGTTAATTCTATCTATATTTCTAAGGTGCTGATCTGATTTTTTAACCACTATTTGTCTCAACATAAGCAATTGTTCTAAAATAAATATCACTGTTTATCACAGATCCTGCTAGTGCGCCAGCTAATCAGGCAAACAAAGAAGAAGCAGATTCACGTTCTGTTTTTGTTGGCAATGTGAGATAAATATTGTCTTTCTTCGTTTACCTTTAGACTCATAAAAAGTTGTCCTTGTATCTAGAACATCTATATGGTGAACCTTCTTGCATTGATATCTGCTTGGATATTTCTTAAGGAGAGAAAAGAGGATGGGTTTTCTATATGGTTTGTTTTCTGATTTATGGATCATTTTAGCACGTGGGTTAACATTTTAACATCTATAAATATCTGGTGACTTTGGATTCGATGTGGGTAACTCTCCGCATAGAATCATGGTTTGACCTTAACACCTTACTATGATTGCAGGGTTGTTAATTTTCCTCGACTTGCCTTTGTGTTTCCGCTGGAATAGTTACTATGTTTTAAACTTTCAAGTATTGGCCAAAAGCTATTTTGCCTTTACATGATATTGTACATAAAGATAGTAGAAATGATATCTGTATGCTAAATTTCAAAAAAGGGAATAAGAGGGAAGAAGTGAGAAAACGAGGGGGCAAATTCCTCAAATATTTCATGGAGGAAAAGAAGAAAAAGAAAAGTGATGGAAGAACATGAATGTCCAAAAAGAGAACATGCTGAATGGGTAAAAAGTAGAGAGAAAAGAGAAAGAGAGAAAAAAAAAAGAAAGGTTTGAAAGAAAAATACATATGAAAAAAAAGAGAGAAAAATCTATATGATGGAAATTTTGATTAGTTTAATATGATGCACGTAGAAAATTTATATTAGAAAAATCAGGGAGATAAAAGTATTATAATACCAATCCCTGAAAAGTGCAACTGGGCTTGTTTGGAGTAGATGGGTGGAGGTAGCATGTTACTTAACATGCTTCAACTTCTTGCAAGCGATTCGTTTGCTTCTTTTGAAGAACTAAGCCAAGTCAACCTATGCTCTCTAAGATGCAAGAACATCGTTGCTGGTGGTCATTGGAGTATGAACCTCAGAAATTTGTGGTCATTTGGCTGATGCGGTGAGAGGCATTTTTTGCTTCTTTGTAGCCTTATTCTCTCGCTGTCCATTTGTGTAAATAACATTGTTCTTATTTCTCTCCTTTTTAGTTGTTTCTGTGAATTTTTCCTACTTTTGAGAAAATGCATCCTATTAAAACACTCCTTTTAAGTATAGGATACATGAATTCTCTTCCTGGATATCCTTTAAGAATTTGCTTTTGAATTTTTTTTCTTTGGCTGGGGGATCATAGTCACTAGAAATTGTATTCTAATTAAAGAAAATTCCCTCCCGGTCATTTATTTTTTGATACATATGCCTTGTTTCCATCAATCTGTGGGTTCTCTTCTTAGTATTTTTGTTGTTATATCCCAATTTAAGGTCTTGATCAAACTCTACTTTTCCTCATTACCATGTTTCCTTAAACATCTCTCATTTGAAGTTACCCTTTTTATTTTGAAGTGCTCAACTGTTTTGATGTTTTTACTGTTTCAAGTTTAGTGAATATTGATACAAAATTGTATGTTGTGGATAAATACAGGGTTAGATGTGAGAAAATTAGCATATGTTGTAGGTACTGTATATTATGTATAGAATTATAGTCTACATGAAAAGATAGGAAATATTCGAGTTGCTGTTGCTCTCCTGATATTTCACGGGAAATTTGTTGAACAGCAGTTGGAAAGTGCCAAATTTGTTTGCATTGTGGTGTTCATTAGACCTCGCAAATTAGATTTTTGTAATAGGAGTTGATTGGTGGCATTGCTGAGAAAGAGAATTTTGAGTGCCAGAAGATTGATCGACTTTGATAATTGTATATGACATTGCCTAGACCTTGAAGCAACCATGTAAACAGCTTGTTTAGTTGGTCTTTGCTATCAGAAAAAAAGTCATGTCTCTTAAGGCTTAACCTCCCCCCAACCCCCAAAGGAACATATCATGTTCTCATTCTCTGCAGCTGCAGAAGGTTTAAGGTGAAAATATCATGATAACCAAGCAATAATGGTAGCTTTTCTTTGGTACTGCTGCCGGACTATTGTTTCTCTTTGAATACCTTCAGTTGAATTTTATTCTGCAGGTTGATTATGCATGCACACCTGAAGAAGTGCAGCAGCATTTCCAATCTTGTGGCACTGTAAATAGAGTTACAATTCTGGCAGACAAGTATGGTCAACCAAAAGGATTTGCTTACGTAGAGTTCCTGGAAGCAGAAGCTGTTCAAGAGGCTCTTGTGCTGAATGAAACTGAATTACATGGCCGACAGTTGAAGGTATTATGTTTTCTTTAATAGTATGAAGCTTGGTTTTCTGTTTCTTAAAAATGGAGCCTGGTGGCCTTTTCAATAAAGGTTTTGTGGTTTCTTTAGCTACTAATGAAGCCTTTCTAAAATATATATTTGGGTATCCCATGTGATAATCAGGTTTTGCCAAAAAGGACTAATGTTCCAGGGATGAAGCAGTACCGTCCAAGGCGATTCAATTCTATGGGTTACCGGGCGAGGAGGCCCTATGTACCACCTTATTTTTATTCTCCTTATGGGTATGGGTGTGCTTCTTCTTGTGCTTAGATTCTCTTCATCCGGTTCACAAATTAGATCCTATTTTCTTTTTTTTTACTTAAAGAACTCATTGCAGGAAGGTTCCTCGATTCAGGAGGCCAATGCGGTATATGCCCTACTACTAGAAGACTGAGCTAATGATGACATGATTACCGAGTGTGGGTCGTTTGATCGAGTAAGTATAATTCTTATTCCAGGCATTATGGGCTGAGGATATAACCAGGCACTTAAATTTGCTGAATGCAATTTGAACCAAGTGCTATGTGTGTGCTGTATGACATGTCCAAAGTATGGGAATAGGTATAGTTAATAGTTTGGACAATATATGAATTATGGATGGTGCTGTGCAATTTTCTCATCTTAGTTATGTTTCATGTTGCTTGAAATCGTTGTCAATACTTTGATGTAGTTGAATTAATAGACGGTTGTTATTTGTAGGGTTAAGCAATAAATTGGCATCACTCACTTTGGTTGCTTCGTTTCTATTTTTCTTTTCATCGGTGCCTATTTGTTTTAAGCTTTAAGCCAAGTGAAGTTTAAACAGGTTTCGTCCACCACCAACTCTTCCGTCTCTATAAATTTAATATTATCATTTGGATATTGTCTTCTTTTTTCCGAGTATAATTGGATTAGGGTAAACTACATAAATTATCATTAATATTTGAGTAAGTTTTTGTTTTTTCACTTAAACTTCAAAAATAACAAATTAGTCTCTAATGCTATTGATATTTGAGCGAGTTTTAGTTTTTCTCACTGAAGTTTCAAAAGTAACTCAGTAATAGAAAGCTAATGTGGCACATTAAACTAACTTATTCGACACTATTTGACATTAAACTAAATAACACTATTTGGCTACGGAGGAAGTTGGACAAGAGCTGACCTTTTGACTCAATCTTATCACTTTTACAATTTCCTCCCTTTTTCCTTTCTTTTATTAGCGTTGCAGAGATGGAGACGACGTTAGCCAACAGCGTGAAATTTAAGTCAAGGGAAGGGTATTGAAATTGTAGGTATAAATTATCATTGAAATCTAAAAGAAAAAGGAGAGAATGGGAGAAAAAGAGAGGAAGATGAACAACTTCAATGGTAAGGGAGTTGCGGAGTGATCAAGACCTAACCACAATTCCAATGTCGAAGACAACGATGGCAAGACTATCAGTCTATCTTTTCCCCAAGTAGAATCCAGTCCTCACAACGCTTCCTCCAAATACGACTTTGTGAAGATGAAAGTCTGGTTGGGTGATCACTATTATGTTTTATTCATATTCTTGCTTAGCAGAATGTTAAGTGTTACAAGGATTCCAAATCATGTAGCTATTAAAATTGCCCTCGAGCTCAAGAATCTGCTTAGCATATTTGACTAAGAGTCTTCTCTGACTCTAGTAGCTAAAAGTCCAACATTTTGAATGCCTAACAATCGCCTTTAAACTCTCATTGTTTTCTTAAAATTTTGTGAACGTTAAAGGTGTGGAGAGGCAAGGACGGTGATAAAGAGCGCTTTGCAGGCGATCCGCGAGAGAGGTCTCTGCACTCAAGGCAAGGGTGATGGTTTCAAGAAATGCTTCTCCAATGGAAACCTACTACAAACCAAAATCCACAGAATATGGGCAACCTTTGTAGGTGTTGTTAAATTCAGGAATTGATTTGTATATAAAGTAGAAGAGAAATTGGAGTGGTTTCAACGTAAAATTAAGCAGTCAAATCCTTAAATCAACAAACAATGACCCCAAGCTTACTTCAGTTCTTGTATATCAACATACAATACAACCTATTGTTGATAATGGTTAGATATTATGGAATGCTTATCATTGTTTAAATATTATGTAAAAACTAAGAAACTTGTCGACACCATTTTTTGCCCTAGAAGGGAAAACTTAGTAGGACTTGGGGTTTTCTTTTGAAAAGGTTTTGAAATGTTTTGGAGTTGTCATCGACCTTTAGGGTTAGGTAGGTTAAATACCTAAATTTTTTTTAAAAGAGTTTTTAAGAAATTATCATTTTAAAAAGATTCATTAATCTACGTGTAACAAAAGATTTATTCTTTTTGTAATAAAAGGGGTTCTGGGATCGATTACGTGTGGGGAAGAATAAACACCCCTACAACACCCAAAATTGGCACCCTATCGATTATAAATTGTCTCTAATAGTGAGAATCTAAGAATTCAAATATAAATTTATTCCAGATTCAACCATTCAATTTTTATTTAACGGGAAATTCTAAGGAGAATATAAAATATTCTAATTTTTCCAATCGAAGATAAATAATCCCTAAAATACTTTCGGACGAATATTTCTCTTTCAAACTAAAATGAAAAGAATATAATAATTTCTCTCAAGAACTCAATATTAATATAATTTGATTCGTCTAAATAAAAAACTTAAGTCAATTAATTCAAATTTTATTAATCATGCTAGACATTGAAAGTTTAAACTAGAATGTTAAAAATATAAACACAATAAAAGCAAAAGACCAAAAATAATTATCACACAGATATAAGTAATTAAATAAATAAAATAAAATCATATCATACCATAAGGACCAAAATGTAAGATAACAAATTTTAGAGATCTAATAATAAACATATAACAAGTTGTTGAGTTAATCGATTGACGAAATAGCCAAGAGGGGAGTGAATTGGCAATTAAAATTTTGGTGGAAGCTTTTGCAGAAAATAGAAAATATTTGCATATCGATTTAGAGTGGTTCGACTTTCTCAACCAAAGTTTACGTCCACTGCTTTAGCTATCCACACTAAGGATTTTCCAAAAAATTCACTAATTTGTTATTTCTTTTGAGGACAAAGAGTAACCTTATAATTCCCTCAAGAATTATATCCCCAAATTCTTGAGAACACTCTCTCCCAAAGAGAAGATTACAAATTTCGCAAACTTACAGAAAAACCTCACAAGGCAAGATGTTTGCACAATTCTAGAACAAAGAAAGAACACTAAAGAATGAATACAATTGAGTACAAATGGTGTTCTTGAAAGCAAAATGAATATTGAATGAAAAATAGGCTTGAATTGCTCAAACTTGATGTTTAAGGCTTTCTCTTTGATTCTCTCTCAATTCTTGTTGATCAATGGCTTCAGAACTTGTTTATATACACCTTGGATTGATTCTAGCCATTGGAAAACATTTGGGTGATGTTAGAGCCGTTATAGTGTGAAAACCCTCTTGAAAAAGGCTGCTAGGAGCGTGGGGTATCGGTACACCTTCAATGGGTATCGATACCTGCAGTGTAAAATTCAAATATTTCGTCCGTTAAATGACTAGGGGTATCGGTACCTTTAAGGGGGTATCGGTACCCATTGGGCATTATGTTTTTCTCAGAGCCAAAATTGGCATAGGGGTATCGGTACACCCTATGAGGGGTATCGGTACCTCCCTATTTAAAACTTATTTTTAGCTCGATTAAGGCTCGAAATACTTTGTAAAAAATATTGTTTCAAAAATATTTTAAGATTGAAACACAATTTTACACTTAAGTAAGGATTGAAATTGACATTTGAAAAACTTGGAGTAATATTTTGATATTTGAATAATTTAATCGAATATATAATTTAAAATATAAAATCTTAAAATTCATTAACACTTAATTTGTTATATCAAAACATCAAAATGTTTTCAACAATCTCCCCCTTTTTGATATAACAAAACATTTTAGTAATTTTAAGATTTTCTTTGAAAAATCATTTTTTAAAACAATTTTGAAAAATTATTCCCCTTACTCTATTCTCTCCCTTTTTGTTAAATAAAAAACTCTAAAAACCGATTTTAAACAAGAGGTTGAAATTTTAGCCAATTGATATTTAGATAAAGCTTAAGTTGCTAAGATCATAATCAAGAGAAAGATTAGCCATTAGTTACATAAATCAATATCCATAGATAATGTGCAATGATAATTGGTCATATTCTAAATGATGCACAAATTAATATAAACCAATATAAACATTAAATTCAAATCATTCAAACAACCAAAATCAAATAATTTTTTTTTCAATCATCCAAATATCCATATGAAACAAATCCAAAAACATCAAAGTGATTTAACAATAAGTTCTATCTTAACCTAAGAAAACAAAGCAAGAAACGGTCTAATCGTCCATCGGTGGAGCAGGAGGAGATAAATGTGCCCATATATTGGCCACATCACGTGTAAGCGCGTCTACCTTCTCTTCCATAGCATCAAAACGATGATTCATCGCTTCGTTGTTAGCAGTTAGATGTGACTCGATGGAGGCAAACCTCATGTCAAGAGTCTCCATAAACGATCAGAAGTATGGAGGCATTTGACTCTCCTGCTGTGCCAGTTCATTCTCGGGTACGAGATCGTCGATATCTTGAAGTTCTGGATCATCATCAACTGCCGGTGCCGGAGGAGCTTATGAAGAGCTAGCTCCCGGTGTTTTCTCAATGGATCGAACACATTGGTCCTTTTCCTTTTTCCATCCCATTTCTTTAAAGATGTCAAGTTGATTTCGTTTTTAAGAGGGATGGCTACATCAAGCCGTACCTTAAGCTTGGATTTGATAAACAAGTTACTCAGAAGACAACCATAAACTAGAGTTTTAACAAGTTTTTTTATTAGGGACAAGGTTTACGGTTTTAACGAGTTCAACAAAGATAATTTGTGGTAGGTTTATTTTCTTATTTTTCTGGATACAATGTATCCACCATAGGTCTAAAGCTCTAAGAGTGGAGTATTTTCCTCCGGATGGTATAAACCACCAAGAGATGATCAGATAAAGAAAACGATCGTGGTGATCTAACACACTCGCACTCACTTGGCTTTGTAAGGAGTACCTACTAGTTCTTTTTCATTATATAAACCTACGTTATCTAGTCCAAATGTGTCAACGATAGTGTCGGAGTCAATATAAACAAATTGACCTAGAAGGTAGGATCAAATTCCTATTGTTTTGGGTTGAGCTTCGTTTTGGACACAAATCTCATTGGAATAGAAAATTCGAACAAGTTGTTGGTAAACTACTGGTTCGAGTTGAAAATGTTTATCAAATTTCTAGGGTAGGAAGATATTTAAAGTTTATATCTATCATTGCTTGAAGAGAAGGGATACGTTCTTCCTGAATTTTATAAGACTCGTAGAGATAAACAAACCTATGGTGGAGATTTTCTCGACGGCCAGGTTCGTTAAAACAAGAATTTAGTATAGTCATTTCGAGGTCATCATGGTTAGGATTTTATGATTGAATAGGAGGTGGATTTGGAGGAGAGTTTGGAGGTCGGTTTGAACGACTAGACGATGTCCTAGGCGTTCTGAATGAGACATGGTTCAAGAAATCAGAATAGGATAGATACCTGCAATTTTAAAACATATGTATGCAACAATTATCAATCCCAAAACTCAAATGAGTCCTCAATATTTCAAGGTTCTCTAAAACTAATCCTAATGGGCAATTTGGAAAACTATTTGAAAAAC